AATCAAAGCACAAACGGATTCTAAACAAGGTCTCACTCCTAACATGCATTATTTGACCTAAAATGTCACCTCTTCTTTACACTGATAAAACCTTTAGTTCTCTCAGCACAGTGACTTCAAAGAAATTGGGGGATTTACATATACATATTAATCAATTAAAACCTTCTAACTGATTAAAGATTTAACAACATCTTAGGTTTGTCTAGTAGATCCTCATCGGTGGTGTGACCCTTTGATCTTTTACTTATAAATTCTGTGTCTGATGTTACCTCTCGCACTAACACCTGAAGAAGGAGTAAGACTCTGAAAGCTTGTGTTTTCAAATAAACCTGTTGGAATATAACCTGAGATAACAAGGTGTAGAGCTGGATGAACACAGCAGGCCAAGCAGCATCAAGGAGCAGGTGTTGTGTGTTTTCTGACCTTGTCCATCCCAGTCCAACACCGGCACCTCCAGATCATTGTTTGTGTGTTGTACAGAGCATTTTGCTGGGTCCATCAGGAAGGATGTGAGACTGAGGGGGTGACTATTCTGGGCAGTGGAGACCTGCAGGTCAAAGCCTCCCTGTACATGGATGACGTTGCTGTTTTCTGCTTGGATCCACTGTCAGTGTACAGACTCATGAGCATCTGTGGCCATCTGAACTGGCCTCAGGAGCCTAGGTAAATTGAGGCAAGAGCAAGGCCATGTTCTTGGGGAACTGGGCCGACTGATCCTTTGTCCCTTTCACCGTCAGGTCAAATTACCTGAAGGTGCTGGGAATGTGGTTCAGAGGAGCCAGGGTGTGCGCTAAAACATGGGAGGAGCATATTGCCGAGGTGAGGCAGAAACTGGGGCAATGACAGCACTGCTTTCCATTGTAGGTACAAACCTGGTCATCAGGTGTGAGGTACTCTCAGTGTTGTTGTATATGGTCCAGATCTGACCCATTCCAGGAACTTACCATCCTCACACATCTCCTTTAAACTTTTCCCCCTCTCACCTTAAACCTATGCCCTCTAGTATTTGACATTTCCATCCTATCTGTGCCTCTCATAATTATACATGCTTCTATCAGGTCACCCTTCAGCCTCTGATGTTCTGGCGAATACATTCCAAATTTGTCCAACTTCTCCTTTATAGCTAATACACTGCAATCCAGGCAACATCCTGGTAAACCTCTTTTGTACCCTTCCCAAAGCTCCCACATCATGGCAGCAGTGTTAATCACTGAGCCACCATACTGCCTGGGCTGTGGGATGTGGGATCCACTCTCCAAAATCAGCTTTGGGGAAAGAATCTGCAATTGGATCCGACTGCTCGACACCAACATTGTTAGTGCGGTCTCTGGGTCTGTACTCAATGGAGTTTAGAAGAATTGGGGGGGACCTGATTGAAACTGGTGGAATACCGAGAGGCCTGGATAGAGTGGATGAGGAGAAGATGTTTCCACTGATAGGAGAGACTAGGACCTCAGAGTGAAGGGAAGACCCTTTTGAACCAAGTGAGAAGGAATTTCTTCAGCCAGACAATGGTTAATCTGTAGAACTCAGAGGGCTGTGGAGACCACACCATTAAGTGCCTTTAAGACAGAGATAGATAGACTCTTGATTAATAAGGGAGTCAAAGGTTACAGGGAGGAGGCAAGAGAATGGGGTTGAGAAACATATTGACCATGATGGAATGGTGGAGCAGACTTGATGAGCTGAATGAATATATCTAAATGTTATGGTCTTATGTTCTTAGTGCGGGGGGTGGGGGGCGTGGGGGGACGGTGTGGGGGGTGGCGTGGGGTTCATCCCATGTGGCATGAGAGAATGAAGGTTATTGACTTGTTGGCTGAGCTGGCTGCTTATAGCTCAGATATTTCATCACCATACTAGGTAACATCATCAGTGTGGCCTCCGATGAAGGTATTACGAAGAAGGGTAATCTCCGAAACATTGACTTTTCCTTTCCTCCAGATGCTGCCTTGCTTACTGTGTTCTTTCAGCCTCCTGTTTGTCTACCTCTCTCCATTCTTACCTGTTTCCTCATTTAGCTTACTTTTCTTGATATGCAAAGACTGTACAGAATTGCTTTAATACTTGTGCATGTACATAAAAATGTTATGAACGAAGTATATTTTTGGAACAAAAAATGTTGTTTTTTAACACCTTTCACCAAGTTTTTGATCTGGTCATAGAGATAGCAAGAACTGCAGATGCTAGAGTCAGAGATAACACTGTGTGGAGCTGGAGAAACACAGTAGGCCAGGCAGCATCAGAGGAGCTGAAGAGGGGTCCTGCCCCGAAACGTCAACTTTCCTGCTCTTCTGATGCTGCCTGGCCTGCTGTGTTCCTCCAGCTCCACACTGTGCTATCTTTAATCTGATCATGTTTTGTTATGTGGCTTGTCTGATGGCACTCCAGCACCTTACCTTGGAATGCTTTACCATGTTAAATGGGTTATATGTGAATGTATGAATAAATGAATTAGATGCAGGAGTAGGCCATTTCATCACTGTAGCCTGCTCCATAATTCAATAAGATCTCAGCTAATCAGACAACGGCCTCAACTCCATTTTCCTGCCTACCCCCCAATTACTTCAGCTCCTTTGTTTTCAAGAATCTATTCCAACTGTGCCTAAAAGGCATTCTATGATCCTGCCCCAATTAGTCTCTGGAAAAAAGAGTTTCACATGACTGTCTCAGATGGAAAAAAAACTCAACTTCATTTTCAATTGTAAGCCAATCATTTACAATTTGTGTTTTTGTGATCTAGTCCCTCTCCCAGAGACAAACATCTTTTCACTGCACACCCTGTCAAGTCCTCTCAGGATCTTGTGTGCTTCATTAGAATTGCCTCCCATTCTTCTAAACTTCAATGGATACTGCCTGTTCAACTTTTCCTCATTTGATAACCACCTCAGCTCAGGAATTAGATGAACATTCTTTGAATTGTTTCTAATGCAATTAAGTTCCTTTTTTAAATAAGGAGACCAAAGCTGTACAGAGTATTCCAGAAGCACAGGTTACTATGAAGGCTCCACCTTCAACCTGAGCCAAGGTGACCCTCAGATTAATCTCACCTACAGTCATCTTTCTCTCGTCAGAGAGTAGCCTATGGCCCTTTGGGTCTCTGCTAACTTTCACATGCAACTGTTGTAAAGCATCCCATACTTTTACAAATGGAAGTTTCTGTTTCGTCATTTTGTCCATCCATTCAGGCAGTGGCCAATATTTCATCCTCTAAACCGCGTAGCAGTTTTAGAGGCTTGGAGGGAAATTATAGCGTTCCTAGCTCCTGCTTGGTTTTCATCACTATGGTTTTATTATAAAGGGTCACCGGACCCGAAACCTTAACTCTGCTTTTTCCTTCACAGATGCTGCCAGACCTGCTGAACTTTTCCAGCAACTTTGCTTTTGTTCCTCATTTACAGCATCCGCAGTTCTTTCGGTTTTTATGGTGTTATTATAGTTTGTCTAGTTAATCTGTGGTTGAAGTTGTTGGTTGGTCTGCTGAGCTGACTGGTTTTCGTGCCAACGTTTTGTCCCCCTTGTAGGTGACATCTTCAGTGCTGTCTAGACTCCATTGAAGTGCTATTGTTCTGTTCCGTTCTGAATTTATATGGTCTGGCCTGTTATGGTGGGTAGTTCTGGATATAAATTCAGAACGAAACAGAAAAACAGCACTTTAACGGAGGCTAGACAGCACTGAAGATGTCACCTAGAAGGGGGATGAAATGTTTGCATGAAAACCAGTCAGCTCAGCGAACCAACCAACAACTCCAGCCACAATCCGAGCTATAGATCTTCACTAAAACATTAAATTTTGTGGTTAGTGGTGATCCAGTGATCCTTAACTGTCTGTGGGAGGTGAATGGCTTTTTCTTGTCTCAAATGATAATTACCCACACCTATGTGACAGACAAGAGCCTGTAACTTATCATGTTGGCTTGGATGTTCTCAAGAGCTTTCCACGGCCTAGTATGGGTACCCTATCATCAGAATCCTCATGACTGGAGCTAAGTACTGTGGTCTCATTACTGAAGCAACTACTCTGACTTTATTACAAAGGGAAGGCCATAGATGAAGCAACCAAAATTGTTCATCCAAATGAATCTACTCCAAAGAACTCCAATATTCTTGGATTATGACGAGTAGTCTCCAGTCATCAATCTCAACATCAGGTATGACTTAACTGCATCCCACTTATCTTAGTGTTGCTCTGTTTCAGATTGGATGGCATGAAGCAGTAATCTTCTCTGGCTTTCAGCTCTTGTGCTCAAGTTTAAAAATCTCTTCATGTACTTTCTAAAAAGAAAAGAATGGAAGTTTGAGGGAATTAAACATTTTTGAAAAATAATGCCTAATTATTGGTAGAGATACAGTTTTGCTAATAGCCTCCAGCACAGATCTTCCTAATATACTGTTTTTCCCTTTCACCAAGTTCACATAGTCTATGCTGACCTTACTTAGACCTTAGATCCGTCACATTGCCGGACACTGGGTTTGGAAGCTATTTAATGTACTGGAACGTCCTTGGATCAAACAAAAAGACCAGGTTATTGCAAAAGTATTTCCAGTCTTCAAAATGCAAATACCATCATTGTGAAAATGAAGTGTGGCTTTGAATGCCTCCTACTCACTGCTCCACACGTTCTGTGAGCAAATACAGCAATCAAGTTAAATTAAATCCCGTTAACCTTCACCCCTGATGGTGTTAACTAAACCACCTGGCCCTGATTCAGGAACAATTCATGGAAAAACTTTATTTTCATAACAGGTACCACCTAAAGAGCACCACAGGACGTTGATAAAGAGATATTGGTTTAGTTATAAAGATTAATAACATGATAATGTGCAAATTCTTGTCGCTGATTTAATAGTGTTGCTTTCAGATGTTTTTTGATTAATTTGCATATAAATTTGGAACTAGCCAGTTGAGACCAAACCCAGATGTATAAAAGGTGAATGCTTGAGTCTAATTCTGGGTGTTCCTAGCAACCCAGCATACAAGACATTTGCAGAAGTAACATGTGAAGTGCCCTTGCATTGCTGTTTATCAGAGACTCCTCATTTTTTTCCTTTCAAAAAGGTAAGAAATGCTTTAACTATGAGAACTGATTGCTGGTAAGTAGAAAAAATGTTACTGTTAACTTACTTTGAAATAAAGGATCAAAAAAATTTCAATTGAAATAGATGAGAAGGAAAACTTTTTGGGTGACTTACACAACATTGGCGACAACAGGCCATAACTGGCAAGATTCTGAAAAGAAAGTGGAAACATAATTCTTTGAAGGGCTGCCTGTGGCATGAGTCTCTACGCTGAATCCATCAGCCCTCAGAATGATTAGAATGAAACACTTGTTAAGGTTGCTTGATGCAGAGATTTAAACCTTGCTGACTTTGTATTTCTAGACCCTGCTACCTCTTGATTTACATACTAATTTGAGTTTATCTGAAGTGTGGAGCAGGTGGGGGTTGGGCTGGGTGGGAGCAGGGTCAACAGTCATTGGGATTTGAGTCAGAGTCCCTGCAGACCCTTATCTCCTTATTGCTGTGAGGGAAAACCTAGGCTGCTATCCAGGGAGTGTGATTGATCCTTTCCCCAGCTCCAGGCTGTGTGTAGTCCCCAGTGAGGTATTGCCTTTCCAGGAGGTAACACTGCACTGATCATGCAGTGCTGAAGCTGAATAGTACCGATACACACAGAGCGGCGAAGGTATGTAATACTTCACAGTCACTGGCATAGCAACACAGAATGAATTCAGGCCAAGTTACTCCTCATCCTGCTGTAATTGTGCTTTTCAAAAAAATGGCTTTTTCTCCCCCCTCAAATAACTTCAATTAAGAGTGAAGACAATTGCTCAGCACAGAACGGGTTTACACTTGTTCCGATTTCCTTCGGTACATTTTCTGTTAGCCCTGGATGGTCTGTCATTTCTTGGACGTTTAGATTTAGAAACTATTTTTCTGATGTTGTACCCTTGCCAAAATGCACGTGGGTTCGGATAGTGACTGGTCTCCTGACCGTTGTAAATTATCCTTCAGCCATGGTGTCTGGCTGCATTTCAGTTTGTAGTTAAGATATACAAAAGCTCCCTGTTGGAAAATGTAAGGTCAGGCCTCATTCGAGTAATCAGCAAGTGTTCCCCTGAGTGTGTGGCCATTTTTAGCAGGACCTGCTTTTCTGAAAAAGGAGCTCAGGTTGGGATGTTCAGCCAGACAAACGGCTCCTCTGGCTGTGCTGATTACTGCTGGAACAGGACTGGGCTGCCCTGCAAAACACAATCCATTCCCCACCAGGCCCAAGGCCTTGGCAATAGTCTCACGTCATAAACGAGGAGCAGCCACTGAGTGAGTGTTTAGAGGATTGGCAGCACTGGGATGTACCAGCGAGCACTGGGATGGTCATCAAACTAAAACCAGCGACAGTAACGCATTATATTTTAGGAAGTGGCTGGGAGCATGTGAATTTTTCATATTCATGAACAACTGACCTAATTATTGACTACACTCCATAAAGAATTGGATAGATAAACAAAAGAGCTTTCTGTCAAGAAAAATTGCAGATATATTGTAGACAAAGAAGGAATTTGCATTTATTTAGCACCTTACATGACCTCAGGGGCATTCCATAAGACCATAAGACATAGGAGAAGAATTGGCTCATTTGGCCCCTCAAGTTTGCTCCATCATTCAATCACGGCTGATATGTTTCTCAACCCCATACTCGTGTCTTCTTTCAGCAATCCTCGATTCCCTTACTATTCAATAACCTATCTATCTCTGTTTTAAATACACTCAATGACTTGGCCTCCTTCTGCGGCAATGAGTTCGACAGATTCACCATCCTCTGGCTGAAAAGATTTCTCCTCATCTCAGGTCTAAAGTGTTGTTACTTCATTCTGGGTCTGTGCCCTCAGGTTCTAGTCTCTCCTCCTAGTTGAAACATCTTTTTCACATCCATTCTACCCAGGCCTCTCAGTATTCTGGAAGTTTCAATGAGACATGCCCTCATCTTTCTAAACTCCATCAAGTACAGACCCAGAGTCGTCAACCACTCCTCATATGACAAGCCCTTCATCCCCGGGATCATTCTTGTAAATCTCCTCTGGATCCCTTCCAATCTCAGCACATCCTTCCTTTGATTTGGGGCCCAAAGCCATTTACAATATTCCATATGCAGTCTGACCAGAGCCTTCTACACCCTTAGCAAGTACATCTCTGCTCTTATATTCTAGTCTCAAGTATCCCAAAGCATCTTGCAACCCATGAAGTACTTTTTGAGGTGTACTCATTGTTATAACATTGGAAACACAGCAATCAATTTGTACACAGCAAGCTACCACAAACTGCATTGTGACACTGATCAATAATCTGTGTTTTCTTGTGACTATGGCTCAAGGTGAATATTCCCCCAGGACACTGTGAAGAAATCTGTTCGTTTCTTGTGAATAGTGCTTTGGGACCTTTCAGCCATTCAAAAGATCAGAACTTCTCTTCACCCATTTCAAGGACTGAGGCAGTTGCCTCAAGACAAGCTTCATTATTATAAAGAGTCACTTGAGGTTTTAAGAACAAAGGCACTCACTCTTTCCAATCAATTGACTCTGCCTACCTCCTTTTACTCAATGACTTAGAGTAAGGAGTGTTGATATGAGTAAACAAGTATGTCAAAATCATTGTTTTAAAGTTGGGAAGTAATCCCTATATTTACTGACTTAACTTCAAGTCTGATTCTTTGAATCATGGAATTGGTTACAGCACAAAAGGACGCCATTTAACCCATTGTGACCCTTTCAGTTCTCTGGATCAGAAACTCAGCCAGTCCTGAGTTTTCCCCGTAACCCTGCAGTTTGCTTCTCTTCAGGCAATTATTTAACTCTCTTCCATAAATCTGAGTGAATCTACTCTGGCATGTTTTCAGCAGTGCATTTCAGATCCACCACTCACTTAGTACGGATGTTTATTTCTTTTCATGGTATATTCACAGTCTGACCTACATCAGCTAAATGACAGACACGAAATATGTAAATTCCATTGCTTTGGTGATGACCCAGACCATGTTGCTTTGGTATTTCTTTTTATTCATTCACAGGATTGTGGGCATTGCTAGCTGGGCCAGCATTGATTGTCCATCCTTAGAGGCCCTTGAGAAGGTAATTTTTAAAATGCATTCACAGGATGAGGGTGTCACTGGTTAGGCAGCATTTATTGCCCATCCATAATTGTCCAGATGGCAGTTCAGAGTTAACCATGTTGCTGTGAGTCTGGAGTCATATGTAGTCCAGACCAGGTAAGGATGGCAGTTTCCTTCCCTAAAGGACATTAGTGAACCAGATGGGTTTTTCCTGACAATCGATTCATGGTCATCATTAGATTCTTAATTCCAGATATTTATTGAATTCAAATTCCACCATCTGCCGTGGTGGGATTTGAACCCAGATCCCCAGAATGTTATCTGGTTCTCTGGATTAATAGTCCAGTGAAAATGCCACTAGGGAACTGCCTCCCCTTAATGGTGAGCTGTCTTCTTGAACTACTGCAATCCTGGTGAGTAGAAGGTGCCACAATGCTCTTAGGGAGAGAGTTCCAGAATGTTGATCCAGTGACACTGAAGGAATGGTGATATATTTCCAAATCAGGATGATAAGTGACTTGGAGAGGAATTTGAAGATATTGGTATTTCCAGTTATATGCTGCTCTTGTCCTTCCAGATGATATTCGTCATTGTGGTTTTTTGGAGGTACTGTCTAAGGAGTCTTAATGTATTATTTTACCATACATCTTATGCTGGTGTTTTCTATTCTTGATCTTTCCACTAATAGGAACACTTCCTTTCCAACTACTCCATTCAGAGCCCTCATGGTATTGAAAAATTCCATCAAATCTCCTTCCAACCATCTTTTCTCCAGAAGGAACTGCCCTATAATCCATCCATGTCAGCGAAATTAATCATCCCTGGAACTATTCTCTTAAATATTTCTGAACCCTCTCTAATGCATTTACATTCCTGTGCAGCACCCAAAACTGGAAACAATCCTCCAGTTTAGGCCAACCCTGTGTTTTATAAACATTTATCACAACTTCCTCACTTCTGAACTCTATGTTTATATTGTTAAAGCCAAGAAATCGTAATGCCTCATTAACTGCTTTTTCTACCTGCCCTATTACCTTCAATGATTTGTGAATTTACTCCCTATATCCCTCTGTTCCTGTATCTGCTTTATAATTGCAATCTTTCTCTTATACCAGCAATGGCCTGAAAAATATTTCTCGTCAAATTACTGTATTTTTTGCAACAATACTTAAATTCAGATTTCTAATTATTTTTTCACCAAATGCTTTAATAGAATCGCTCTGGAAAAATGCCACATAAAGCTGTCCATGTGTAAAAACAGGTCTAGGGTCATAAATATAAATGTTGTCATGAGTCTGATCTTGTGATTTGTTTGTAGTCATAGATTATGAAGGTCTAATTGGGAACTGTTTTTCCCTGAGTTCAAAAGGCAGTTTTACCTCTGATGGGCTCAATATTATTTGAGGAATAAACACTCCTTAAAATCTGCCTCTTATAATTTCAGCATTTACCATTGAAGAGAACAGGAGTGCCAGCTTGCTCCAAGGCAATTGCCTGTGTAGGATTTGAATTTCATAGCAACATTATAACTGCTCCTTCACTGAGTTTATGTTTGTATTATGGCATATCCATTGAGGTCAGACAGTGCAGAAACTGAATGTTATCATTTCCTTCCTCATCAATCGAATATATTCTTTAATTCACCTGACAGCTTTTCTAAAACATTTTCATTCCAATCAATTTCAAGCACAAAGAATATCTTTAAAATTATGAATTATCAAATAGTTTTCATTGTGCCATTTTTGCTAAACTTAACTAATTTCATCTTCTCATTCCCTCATTCCATGCCATCTTACTCATACCATTGAAATCCCATTTGTTCCATTCACCCATTTCATCCCCAACCTGCTGTTGCCATTCTCAGGCCTCCTCTCAAACCCAGCCCATCCCTCAATGATGCACTCTCCAGTCAGGGGAACATTGTTATTGGGTTCTCCCCCCACAATTAACTC